ATTTATTCACAGTTCTATATAAGTAAAAATTTGTGAATTGACTTTTTAAATGTGTTAAGGAAGTTTCTCACTTGAAGGAATCATATTTAAGAAAAATGATCCCTTTCTTATTTTTCTTTTCGGTTTTGCCTCTAGCATAACAGGTATTATTTAAGAATGCTGTGCCTGTGAGTTTGCATGATCACTAACTAGTTCGTGATTTCTCCAACATGTATTTGAATATTGTAGTGTTTCAGTGTTTCCCAAACTTTAGTTATTTGCATACACCTTCATGTTCATCATTAGGTCCCCGTTCCACCTGTACTATTATTTACTTAACTATTTTTCTTTAATTCACATTTTTTACACAAGTGGATTTATTTTTAAGAAGAACTTTATATCACTACTACAAATGCAAAATCAGGATAGTTCACAATAAGTAGAAGTTAGTAAAAATTTTATTAATAAGTTCTAGCTAGATACTATTGCTCATTGAAGCCTTCAATCTGGGGGAGATTAGACAGCATTCTAGTGGTATGAAAGACACATTCTCACCAGACTAAGGGTGTATCTTTGTAATCACAAGGATTGAAAGAGAATTGAAGGAAAATGACATGACTTTCCCACAAGGTGATTCAGTGTTATGTAGTGCTATTTCTGTGTACCATCAAAAAATCCTCTCTCTTACTTCACCCAGAATATTATAACGCCATCTAGTTTTTTCCCCGTGAGCTCAGAAACTAGTCATCAAAGCAGACAAGTTGTTAAAATATTGATCTCCAAGAAAATAGATCATATCTGTTCTCTTTTTATCTAGTCAAATTAATAAACTTGATTATGTTTCCAGGTTAAAGAGGAAATGATGGACAATAGGACCGATTCTAATCTGCCAGACAAACTTTCTGTCTTCTCTGATTCTGCCCACCTGCCACTGGCCAGGTCCTTCTATCTGGACCCCATGGTCACTTTCCACCTGTACCCGGAGGCCTCTGTGCCATCCCTTTACTCGGAAGAGCTACCATTGCTGCCTTTTCCCAGCGACTCCCTGATCATGGACAATTACGGTGAAGCCTGCCCCATCTCTTTCCCAATACCTTATCCAAATTACAGAAGGTGTGAATACTCCTATGGGCCGGCCTTTATCCGGAAAAGGAATGAGCGGGAAAGGCAGCGAGTAAAGTGTGTCAACGAAGGCTATGCCCAGCTCCGACATCATCTGCCAGAGGAGTATTTGGAGAAACGACTCAGCAAAGTGGAAACCCTTAGAGCTGCAATCAAGTACATCAACTACCTGCAGTCTCTTCTGTACCCTGATAAAGCTGAGACCAAGAATAACCCTGGGAAAGGTTCCTCCATAATGGCAACCACCAGCCATCACACTGACCCTATTTTTAGAATCATTTGAGTATTTCAAAACAGAAACAAATTTTAATTTTACAAAATGGGGTTTCTTACAGCATTATTCAATAGTTTTTCCTAAATGTGATTTCTGTGTGGGCAGAAAATAGCTCAAATCTGTGCTGTATATTACTTACCTGGGTTTCAGAGGTACTAAACATTATTTTCTGTAAATTCTGTAGACACTTTGCTCATTTCTTTCAAGAACTCTAGGGGAGCAGGAGTCGCCAGGGCTCTCTGTACCTCTCACCCTGCCCTTCTCACACATTTGCCTGGGGTCTTGGCTGGAGAAGCTCTCACAAAAGCATGTGAAGTACGACTAATGCTTGTCGTGCACTTTGCAGAGGCTTTGTGCTAAGCAATCGCAATGAACCTCCCTTAATTTGTCAAAGTTTGGTGATTTTTATCTGTTTGGGGTTGATAAGAAATCATGATGGGAAAGTGTCTCAGGGCTAAAGCAAAAGTATTATAGTTTAAAAACTTTGTTGTTATTTGAAATTATTTCAGACTCATCTACTTCCTGCACACAGACTTCCTCAGGCAGCTTAGTATAGGGTTTAAGAAGACAGGCTCCGGAATCAAACTGCCTCAATTTGAAGCATAACTCTGCTACCTCCTCTGTCTTGGTTCTTCTACACAAAATGAGAGTAATAACAACAACTCCCATGTGTTTATTATGAGGATTAACAGTGCCTGACACATAAGTACTCATAACATCTGTCTATTATTATTATCATCTTGTTTTGTCCATAGCATCACCATTCTCCGGGTTCTCTAGGTCAGAAAACTTGCAGCTGCCGGGTCTTTCTTTGACCCCTGGGGAGGGCAGTCCCTGACCCATATCTTGGAGTCTGCCTTCAAAATGTCTCCATTCCTTCTCCGTGGCTAGCTTCAGCGCCTCCTTTTTTTGTAACTCCCAGGTCCCACCTGTCTGCAAGCGCAGGTAGGACTCCCCCACACTACCTGTCACACTCACTTGCGCGTTCACGTCTCTGTGAACTCTTCCCCAATTTCCTATCCCAGCCGTTATTTGTTCCTTTTTTTTTTTTTTTTTTGGTACATATTCCTCTCGCAGTTCCTATCCTGTTATCTTTATACACATTCCACACCCATCTCTGCCTTCTTCGGGAGACTGCAAACTCCTTGAAGATTATTCACCCAGTCTTATTCATCCCATATTCCTAGTACCCAGCAAAGAGCCTTGAATCAGGCGGGTGTCAGTAAGTACTCGTTAGTATTTTCCTATTCCAATCTGTCACCTGTGTCTGGGTCATTGTTAACAGTCTCCTCTCTGGCCTCCTGGACTCTGTTCTCAACTGGCTCCACCTTCACTTTGATGCTGTTTCTTAAACCATTTCATATCACTTTGTTGCTCAAACTGCCTGGTGACTTCCTTTTGACTACCATGTTGTTTAAATTTATCAGCTTGGTTTTAAAGCTCCCTACAATCTGTCCCTATCCCAAATATCCACACCTTACTTTTCCCAGGACACCCATTCCTCCGAAAATGAAAATCACTGTCTTGCAAATGCATCCTTCTCTCTTCACTCTTGCTTCCTACTCAAATTGGAATGTTCTCATTTTCCCCTCCACCATTGAAATCCCACTATCTTATTCAGGAATCCCTCTCCCACTGCCAGAGACTTCACTGGTCTTTCTTAGACTCTAACTTTGTATGCCAAATAATTCAGCATTTAGGTATGTGGTTCTGGGCACCAGCCATTCTCCTGACTACAAAGCTGTGCTCTGTGAGGGCAGTCATCAGTTAGGATGCTTTTGGTTGCAAGTCAGAGAAAACTCAATCCGCATTGGCATAATCCATAAAGGGAATGTATTGGCTCATGTAACTAATGCGTATAGCAGTAGGGCTGCCTTTGGACAGGACTCAACACTGTCCCCAAGAACGCATTTTCTTTAGGTCTATTCTCTCTGTCCCTGGGAATAGCTTCACTGTTCCAAAAAGGCTGTCAGAAGCTCTCAGAACTATATGCTTTCTTATTTATGCACATAGGAAGAAAGAGAAAGTCTGTATCTCAGGATTCCCAACAAAAGGAAGGTTGGTTCTGATTGGAGAGGCTCGGGAACCTGCCCCTGCCTAACCAATCCCGGTGGTTAGGGGGATGACATGGGCAGATTGACACACATTCCCCTCCTGGAGCTGGGTACGTTAGCCTCTCTATCCACATGGTGGATAGGCAGGAGTGGATGTGGGGGGACACCCACAAATGTGCCTGCATACTTTTCTGGTATTTGCCACTGAACACAGTACCAGGCACACAACCACAACCACTACACAATGACTGTCAGATGCCTCAAAAACACTAGCCTCCTCCTATGCGTATTCCAGTAAGAGCAGAATCTACACTTCTGTTCCTTTGGTCACCAGTGTCCACTCCCTCCACTCCAAATGGTCACAACACCTCTGCTCCTCAGTAGAGTCCTGTTACAGACAAACATGGCCACACCTTTGGTTATTTCGTTGTAAACTACAGACAAATTCTACTTGGAGACCCAGGCCAGTCAGTGGCTCCCCCCACGCAGCCTCGTGTCTGCACAGGGTGCAGGCAGATCAACAGCCGCCGGTCTCTGTAGGCTCAGCTCCCTCCCTTACAGGGCTCCCCTGGGATCTAAGAGGGCTTCCCACCTAGGCTGACTCTTCTGGCAGCCTGAGCTTTGGGGAATTGAGGTTACCTGGGCCTTTCTCGTCCCTCTCCCTCCTCCCTCTCTACGCCCTCCCTTCTCCCACCACACCTCCCAAGGCTTCCCGCCGCCCCTCTGCACATGCTCAGTGCGCTCACTAGCCACAGCGTTCCTGCGTCCGTGGCAACCTGCTTGGCAACCAAGAATCAGTTGGGCTGAGCCCCTGAGCCCCAACTGTCAGAAGGGACCTAAGTCTGAGGTGGAGGCCAGGAATTTGGGGCTGTGGGTAAGTCCTTTGGGGATCACAACTGTGGACTTGGGCAGGGACAGACCCTAACAGGGCTCTGGTGGGTTGGGGCAGTAGAGTTTGATCCCGGGCCCTGGGTGGCAGCTCTCACCTCTGAACAGGACTGCGGAGGTGATAGCCCTGAGATCTCAGCTCACCTGGGGCCAGAATTAGTCATGTAGGTGACCAGGTTAGAAGGAGTATGTGGCTTTGGTTAGGGGTCAGTTTGTCATCAAAGGGAAGAGTGATTTTATCTTCCGAGAGGGGAATGCTAACCTCTTTGGCATTGCCAGTGGGGAGGAGGAAGGAGGAAAAAACTAACACATATATCGGGCCACTTATGTGCCAGGTGCTTTCCATACGTTATCTCCTGAGCGGTAACTGCAGCGCAGAGGTTAAGTGAGCGTGCAGCCAGCAGGCTGGGAAGAAGGATTTAAAGCTGGGTTTCTCTAAAATCACAGCTCTTGCTCTTTCAACCCCTCCCTTATTTCCTGAGCTGGGGTCCCTGAGGCAGGTGATTCGAAGAAGAAACTGAGCGTCTGCGGGAGCAGGTGGGGCCCCGCGTGGCTGCAGCTGCCCCCAGAGAGGCAGCTAAGCGCAGATCTGGGCCCTGCCCCCACCCAGGCGCCCCCTGCTGGCTGTGGGCTGCAGCTCCGGTAATGGTGGTGCTTGTTCTCAGGTGGTTCCTCGGAAGGCCATGGAATCCTCCACCGGGCCCAAATACTGCAGCGTGGCCACAACTCTGAAGGCCTCTGGCTGGGACCATACTGCTCCGCTCTGGGACCTCTCCTTCACCTGCCCCTTTGCCCTCCGAACGCCCTGGCTCACCAGGCACCACCCCCCGACAAGGTACCGGTCTCTGCCCCTCTGGAGGAAGCGGGATGCCCACTTTTTCTTCCTTTGTTCCTGGCTCTTGGCGGTGTACCATGAGGGAGAGGACTTGTTTCCTGGGAAGGGGGAAAGCATTCTCTACTGTTTGGCCTGTGACTTGCACGGGGTATAAGTGTATTACCGCAGCCTAAACTGGGCCTTCAGTGACCCCCAGGGTTGACCTAGTTTTTGTCCCACCTTGCAGCAGATTCATGGATGTCACAGTTGGCGTGAGAGAGAAGGCAGTCAGGGATGACCAGTTACAAAGTTTCTAGCTCATTTTACCATCAGCCATGAGACTTGCTCTGGCACCACGTGAGAAATTAGTTTCTGTAACCAACAACTAAGGGGGGATCTCCAGGTGCCTCCTCGGTTCCCTCAGTTGTCATCTGTCTAAAGTGTGAATACAAGAGGGCCAAGGAGCCTCAGCCTAACACACGCAGGAATTGTGCAGTTCCAGTGACTCATGTCCATGCCACTCCACTCAGTCTGCCCAGGTTAGGGTCGTGCCAGCTGGAATGGTCTTTAATTGCTCGCTTTCTTGATTCATCTATGTGGACCATCGTTTTCAAGGCCGGAGTTAAGCATCTTTATATTCAGCCTTGCCCATGAAGTTAACAGCTTCTTCAAAAACCAAGACCCTGACTCAACAACTCCCCCAGGCCAACTGGCCCTGCCCACAACATTTTCCAGAACTAGCTTCTCCTTTTACTCTCCCGCAACTCCTCAGTCAGCTCCTCTGTGCTGTCCCTGCTGGAAAACTTCCTTATCCCTCTGACCCCACAGTGCCAAGTGGCCTTACTGTTCTGCTCCTTTGGCAATGCCATCCTGGAATCCCACACACCATCCTAGCATTTACCTTCCTGGCATTCTTTCCTATTCTGTTGTCTAGTCTCAGAACAAGCATTAATTAACTTGAATACATCAAAGCCAATTACATTTTAGTTACCTGGAAACAATTCTCAATGCACAAACGATGGTTCCTGACACTGTATTCTCCTTCTGCCCCTCCCCAAAGTTTCCCTTATCTTACCAGAAGTCACAGATTGCCACTTCCACATGGATTTCTGTTCCACATACCCTCGTATACACATGCCATGGTGCACCTCAGATCTAACTGTGAAATGTGTTTCTTGATGTTTTTAGGGCTTGGTGTTCTCCACCCCCTAATTCTGTTTGCTTTTTTCCCAGGTGTGCCTCTTATCACCCGTGTCTCCACTGTGCTGACCCAGCATGGCGGGGACCTGGCTGGCTGGAAAGAGCTGGAGATGCTGCTGCCACTAGGGTCCTGGCAAGAAGGGAACCAGATGGCTGTTATTACCTGGCTCAGATAAAGGCCGCTCCAGAGGCAAGTCCCTGACCCCCAGCATCTCCCTGGCATGCTCCTCTGGGTGGGCCCTGTCATACCTGATGTGCCTTAGCTATGCGTGTCCAGAAGTTTGGTTTTGTGGATGAGCACAGATCTTCCATGGCTACGTTGTGGAAGCAAACCTGTGAGTGTGTTAGTTTGCTAGGGCTGCATAACAGGATGCCACAAACTGAGTGGCTTCAACAACAGAAATTTATTGTCTCACATTTCTGGAAGCCAGAAGTCCAGGAATTGGGAGGGGTGGTTCTTTCTGAGGACTGTGAGGAAGAATCTGTCCCACGCCCCTCTCCCAGCATCTGGTAGTTTGCTGGCAATCAGCATTCCTTGGCTTATAGAAATGCCACCCTGATTTCTGCTTTCAGCTTCACAGGGCATCCTTCCTGAGTTGTCCAAACTTCCCCCTTTTATAAGGACGTTAGTCATAATTGCGTTAGGGACCTGCTATACTCATGACCTCATCTTAACTAATTCCATCTGCAATGACCCTATTCCCAAATAAGGTCACATTCTGAGGTAGGGGGCTAAGACTTCAACACAAGAATTGGGGGGCACAGAGAGGGTGGGGACATCATTCTATCCATAACAGAGAAGAAAATTTACATTAAAATTACTTTGTTCAGGAAAGTTCAGTATGTTGAATTATGGGCACCAGCCTAAGGGAAAGAGGAACAGAACGTGTTTGCCTGCATGCACGCGTGTGCGGGTGTACCCAGTGTTTGCCTGCATGCACGCGTGTGCTGGTGTACCCAGTGTTTGCCTACATGCACACGTGTGCTGGCGTACACGGTGTTTGCCTACATGCACGCGTGTGCTGGTGTACACAGTGTTTGCCTATGTGCACATGTGTGCTGGTGTACACAGAAGCTCGTTCCTGGCATGCTGCCAGTCAGGCCTGGGCTTTACTTCAGTGGTACTTACTTTTTGAGGATTTTTCTCTTCTTTTCGGAGTCAGATTTTGTGCATATGGATCCATGAAGGAAGACTAATGTAAATTCTCAAAAACTGTGAATTACAGAATTTCCAATCAAAAGTCATTTTATTATTTTCAAGTAAATAATATGGAATTCAAAATTAAGTGTTAGCAGAGTTCTGTTCAAATATAGGTTCTGTCTAGTGATTTGATGAAAAATGATTTGTTACCAGACTTCATTTCTCTTCATACTGAGTACTTAAAACAGCTTGTACTTTTAATTAGCTTAAGTACTTCTCCTGCCCTCTCTCTGATGTTATTCATTTGCTTAGCTAAGCCTTTCCTCATTGACCCTAAGGGCGGTGCGGAGGGCTGCCCTGTGGCCACAATCACTCCTTGCCCATGTGGGCCTCGGAGATGAATGAGAAACCATCCCTAGTTGGTCTTGGACACAGGAACATGTCTTGGGGTGTTGAGAGGAAGGGAGTGCATTGGGGGAAGATCCAGAGAGGTTAGTCCTGGGAATTGCAGGCCAAAAATGTGGTAGGAGGGAAGAAAAGCAGGAAAAGGAAGAGAATTAAACTGATGAACACTAGGGTGCTCACATGGCAGTAATACTCTCCAGGGAATAGGGGAATGGGGGGGGGTGGTAAACCCGCAACTAAAGGACACGGGGAGCATTGTAGGGGGAAGGGCATGCCTCTAACCCTCGCTTGGGTGAGGCAAAGACATAAAGTGTAACCATAATGTTCGTACCCTCATAATACCCTGAAATAAAAAAAAAAAGGAAAAGGCTGGAAGTAATCAAGAGTTGCCCATGGCAAGAAGAGGTGGAGGAAGAGCACCTGCAACCTAGCCGCCTGTCTTGGTGTAATTGGCTCCAAGCAGCACCTGTCCCTTCTTTAGTCGTGGCCCTCACTGTAAGGAAGCCCCGGGGCCTGGTTCTGGGGCATCATGGGGAACCTGGGTGCTCCCTGTTGTGCTTTCTAATGCCAGATCTTATTCTGAGTGTTTTCTTCCCCCCAGCTGGAGAGACAGGGGACCCTGCTTGTGGAATACGAAGCTCCCCTAGTCACAGGCCCAAAGCTACCAGCTCGGCAGCAGAGTGTGGTCTTAGAAGAAGACGTTGTTCGGCTCTCACCATCTGTGGGATATGCATTGCACCCGGGGGACAAGGTGCTCGCACCCTGGGAGCCAGACCGACAGCGATATGGCCCTGGCACTGTTGTCCTGGGCTTGGAGGCGAGAGACCCCCAGAGAGGTAAGGGAAGCTGCTCTGACTAATCAGTCCCCAGAAGGAGCCAGGCTGGTGATCACGCCAGAGGAGAGAGCAAAGGGTGTCTCCACAGCCTAGAGGTCTTAGAGGCCTTACAGAAAGAATCCCTACCCCCTTACCTGCTGTTTAATCCTGGAGCAGCAACAGATATACAAATCATATCTTTCAGATTATAAAATGCTTTTTTTTTTTTTGGAATCAGGGAAAGTGGCCTAAAACTACTATGTCTATGTCGGTTAGCATACCATGGTGTGGTGGGGCTACCCTGGGGTCACACTGGAACTCACGACCCATTCTTCACCAAGGCCCCCAGGCCCAACAGTCCTCTTCTGCAGGGCCAGTCAGCACCATTGCAATCCAGAAAATGACAGGAGGAGGCTTCCCCTGAGGATGCATTTCAGTTTTGACATGAAATGGGCCCTTCCAGGTCACCTTGTAGTCCAGGGGCAGGGAGGCTCATGCAGGTCCACCCAGCAGTGGTGGTAAGGCTGGGCGTGGCGGCTCACACCTGTAATCCTAGCACTCTGGGAGGCCGAAGTGGGAGGACTGCTTGAGCTCAGGAGTTCGAGACCAGCCTGAACAAGAGTGAGACCCCGTCTCTACTATAAATAGAAAGAAATTACCCGAAACAACTAAAAATAGAAAAAATTAGCCAGGCACAGTGGCGCGTGCCTGTAGTCCCAGCTACCCGGGAGGCTGAGGCAGGAGGATTGCTTGAGCCCAGAGTTTGAGGTTGCTGTGAGCTAGGCTGACGCCACGGCACT